CTCCCCTCCCCCAGTCTACGGTCCAGTCAGATGCAGTCTTCCCAGATACTCAGATGACAAAGGATATGAAAAAGTGGTCTCATCTCAGTGCCGTTCTTTGAAGGAGACTGGATTGCGGTGAGTCAAATCGAAATGCCCGAGACTGTGCTCCTAAACTTGACGCCTGTACCATTGGGAAGAGTTTACTCGGACAGTACCTTAAGCTGCCTTGCTGTTTTCTCTCCCCCATGGTAGGATGTATACTGACTCGTCAATACCCTTTCATGACCGAGTTCCACGCCGTTTTACTCCTTCTATAGTTGGATGACAGGACCCGTTCTCTTTTGTCATAGAGCATTGGACTCCTCGAGTAACAGGACGCGTATAAAACGTGTGTCCTATCTAAATAGCGAGTGTGACCACCTGTTCAAAGGTACCTAGTCGAACCGACTTTGGGGTAGGAAATTGTCGAGGCGTCGACAGCATAAGCAGATCTGTGGACTGAACGTTGCCTGAGCGACAACTGGTCCCCATCGTCGGGTCGAAAACAGCGCTCCGAGCCACTGGATTGCCAATAAACATTTAATCCTTCTGAAGACGCCCACTTGTCCGTAATTTCATATTCTTAGTATAACAGGTAGTCGGAGGCGTTGGCATCCTCATTTAACTTTACTGAAACGCAATTGTGCGGCGCAATTATGAGGCTAAAATTAAGACAACGTGACGGATTTTTCCCAAAATCAGCGGTATCGTGGCAGTATAAACTGCTTAAAGCAATCGAGCTAACTGAAGAGCATTGCCTTGGGGGGTGTTCCAAAGGAACGCCTATTTCAAAACCATACTAAAGGTACACCATTAGGGATAACTTTAAAGACCTAGTTTGAGCGGTATTCTCAGGGGCCATTGCGCACGGGCCCGACAGCAACCGGGCATGCAGGAATGGAATCCGTTGGGAAAAAGACAGCACCAGTTGTATCGTAGGCCGCGAGCAACCTACCCTCAGGTCGACCAGTCCTAACGCGGTCTTCAGTGATGCCTCCCTGTCTGTCCCTTAGCATGTGTGTATACGTACCTCCGATGACTGACTCCGACATCCCTACGTGACGACCGTTTGTAACCATCTTGATACAACCGCATGCGGGCTCACTGCTCCGGCAAGCATTTGTGTTGACACGACGCACACTATGGTTTCATGAGATAACAAGCGTGTTCCACACCAGTTTCTGCTTTTCTGTCATGC